TAATGGTGATGATCTGTTTGAAGGTTAGCATTGTGTCACTGTAGGCTGGGACATGGATTTTAAATAAGTGCTGAACATAGAAGAAAAGTGAATTGTGCATGGTTGACCTATTTAAGTTTTAAAATGAATGATTCTGATTAGCTTTATCAAAAGGAGATTTGGAGTTGCCCTAGCAAGTTTCTACTGGTTTAGTAAAGAAGGCTAATTGATTATCAGTTTTGTTAATTAATGAGATATTGATAAGATATTTTAAAGAAAATCTCCATCTTTAATTCCGCTTCTTGCATTGGCTTTTTAGTAATTTCACAACATAGCCTTTTTAAAAAAAAATTTTTTTTGAACCATTGCATTCTTTATGGTAACATTAAAAGAATTTCGAGTTGACCCCAAGCAGTTTTTTCATTTCTGTTGTGGTAATTATTGTTGCTAATATTTCTCAGGAAAAAGTTGATATATACCAGAGAAACTTTTTCTGTCAGGAGAGATAACCACTAAGGAAAGAAAAAAAGTGATTGTTACATTGTTTTTTCCTTCCCTTTGAATTAAATTATTGAGATTAGCACTGTATACTGTGATTATAGGCAGTTATTATCTTACCTGTTCCAAACAGAAAATTTTTTTCTGAAAATCTGCTAGCAAATAGGCAACGTATTTAGATGTTAGAGAATCTACAACAGTGTTTTTGATTTTAATATTCTTTGCTCTTGGGCAGTTTGTACAACCAACACTAAGATGGGAGGGAGGAGGTGCAAAAAAAAAAAAAGAACATGAATCTTTGTAAAATTATAACTGGGTTGGCTGCAACATTATTAGCCCTGCCTTTGAGACTTTATGGCTGTTTATTACAAATTTAAAGTTTTGTTTTTCAGGGTTCTTATCAATTGGGAATGGACAGTCACACCTGGAAGAATTCGACCTTACTTTGGGCATTTTGACTCAAATTTCTTTTTATTGTTAAGTGCAAAGCATTGTATTGGATACTGAGGGGGAGGACCTAGAATAATGAATAAAAGAGGATTTCTTCTTTCAGAGAAAAGCTATTCTCTAATAGGAGAGACTGTAAAAGAAGAAAACCTCAGATTGATGAGTGCTTAACTGTGCCAGGTAGCATGCTAGCTGTTTTATATATTTTGTTTAATCCTTAGAACAAGATTATTTTCTTTTCATGATTGAAGAAATTCAAGTTCACATTGGATGTTAAATAACTCACTCAAGGATACAGGTATTAAGTTGAAATGAAGACCTGTTTCTGTCCTCTAAACCCCCAGGTGTTTCCACTGCACTGTGTTGTGGACAGGCGTGTAGACCTAATGGTAGATGAGGTTGATCCGGCACTGTGTGGAGTGTGAGCCTAGCTTTTGATTCCAGGATGGGCAGCAAGAATACCTGAATTCATATTTTTGGAGGTCTAGGTAGTGATGGTCACAAGTCACTAATCTTTGAGCCTCAGATTTCTTTCTCTCATTCATCCATTCATCCCTTCATTTCTTCTGTAACTCGTCTTGTACTTGTGAGGTCAAAGAAAAATAATTAGTATCAGACTCCCTTTAGATGACAAAGTGTGGAAGGAGGGCAGCAGAGCATAGAAATGTGAAGTTTTGGTCTGGGCAACTAACCCTGGCTGCCCCTCAGCCCTGCTTCCTGGCAGGCTGTGTGATTGTGGCCCTGTACTTAACCTCTTTGGGCCTCCTTTTCTTTTTTTTCTTCTTTTTTTTAGTGGTGATGATAATAATACCTGACTCTTCATTTGGGGAATTGAGTGCAAAACTCTTCGTACCTGGCATGTTACTAAGCCCTTAATGTATGTTAATTTCAATAACTATTATTGTATATTAGTTTGGTCACTACACACCCAATTGTTAGATTCAGGAACTTGATTTTTTCAGTCTTCTCAGGTTTGATAAGATTCTTATGATTGGCTGAATAATTGAATAGATTGTTAACCTATTAAATAATTATGAGGACTGGCCAGTTAGCTCAGTTGGTTAGAGTGCTGCCTTGTAACTCCAAGGTCAAGGGTTCGGATCCTGCTACTGGCCAGCTGCGAAAAATAAATAAATAATTTTTTACGGGAATATTCTGGTAATAGATATACTCAGTTATTCCTGTGTGATGCAGAAACCGAAATAATAGTTAGTTATTAACACTTACGTAGTGCAAATGAAATAAAATCAAAGGTAGTTTTTATAGGCTACTTTATTTAGGCTTGACAGAACGTAGAGAATTGCTTCTTTAAAACATGAACAGTAATACTATTACTTTTCTGTAGACAGGAATGCTGTTGCTTGGTGACAACACTAATGGGTTTATTTCTTCTTTTTTTCCTTTTATCTCTTAACATTTTATGTAAGGTAAGTAGCTGAACCACATTAGTAATGGAGATTTTATATGTGCTGTTTTTTTTTTTTTTTTTTTTTTTTTTTTACTGTAAAAGGTGGAAATCTATATGTAGGGAATCTTCATGAGGATGATTAAGTAGTTGTCTCCTTCTTTCCATGTTTGCTTTTATCAATTCGTTCTTGAGTCTTTCCTTTGTGTTCTTGCTGATTTTAATGGTCATTTTCTCCCACCCTTGCCTGCCACAGATGATGCTTCTGTTTTTCTTTTGGTTCTTTAATATTTGGTAGTTTGGAATTAATTTGTTGACAATTCTCCAAGAAACAGGTGCTTTCATATTTGGGGGGATCCTTAGGTGCATCAAACCTGTTTTATTCTAATTACAAAAGATGGAAAACTACCTTGTTAGCAAAATGAGTACCATGAAGCATGGAGGTTAATTTGCTTTTTTTGGTTAACTACTTCTTTAAAAGTGAGCCTTTGGAGGAGCCAGGGTAGTTTTGCCAATTAATATTTTAGACTGTTCCATGTAATACAAAGGTGTTTTCAGGGTGGTAGTGATGAAAGTATCAAAATCATAGGATAAAAATGTGGCTCTCATAATAAAAACTTAAATTTATATAACTAAATTTATATAGTAATTTTTGTTTTCTAAGGTGCTGTCTTAGGAGCCCATGGAAGAAGTAGTCGACAGGGAGAGTGGAACTTGAAAGGGAAGGTGCTTGAATGATTCAAGAGGGATGGGGCCAGCTGAAGCAGGAAGGGGTGGGGTGATGGAGAGCTGGGGACACAGTGAGCTGGGGGCCCAAAGTGAGCGTTAGCTGGTATTAATAATAACAAATACTCATTTATAAGTTTATAGTTTAGGAGCACCTTTCACATGCATTCTTAGTTATAAAGCTTTAAGGGCTGTCAGACTAACAGATGGAGACATTTAAAAAGGATGTCAGTTTAGCTTTGCTTGTTACTTGACCCAGACCAGACAAAGAAGCAGTTGGTATAATTTCTGAGAGACCAGAGCAGGACTTTTTTTTTTTTTTCCTTTTTGTCTTTTTTCGTGTCCGGCAACAGATTGCAACCCTCAGTGTCGCACCCGTACCGGACCGGGACCGGCAACGGGACCGCAACCCTCGGTGTTGCTCCCACACCTCGCTCAGCCAGTGAGCGGGAACCGGTCTGTATGTGGGATCCGAACCCTCGGCGGGAGCGCCGCCGTGCTCCCAAGCGGCGCACTGTAGCAGTGCGCCACCGGGCCGGCCCAGAGCAGGACTTTTAATATAACTCCCATTTTGCTAACTCATTAAGCTTTCTGGGGTCTCACTCCCATAACCATTACCCTACCTTACCCCAGAATTTGTGGTTCAGTGTTGTTTTGAATATAGATACTCATTTGTTTCATTTTTTTTTTTTTTTCCTGGTGCAGTGGGGAGTGGGAAAGGCACGCAGCCTGGTTGGATGTAGTCTGGGCAAACACAGTAAAGCTGCAGGGCTGGAGGTGTGCCTTACTGTCTTGTTTTCTGTCTTAGTTTTCAGTTCCATTCTCATATCCCATTTCCCTGATTTTTCTTCAAATAAATGCTCCTTTAGTTGATCATAATCGGTAAAGAAAAGGCTGATGGGTGGGGGAAGAATAAGGAAGGGCTTAAATGTGATGAGCTTTGACTTCCAAGAGGTCGGACGATTAAATGGTGTAAAGCTAAGGAATGATGTGATCTGACTTTCTCTAAACAAGATTTTCATTGGATTCTGGGTGTTTTTTAATGGATTAGATGTGTGGAGGATGAGAGAAAGAAGAATCGAGGATGAATCCAGTAGAGCAACTGAATCTTTAATCTTGCTAGAGGCAGTGAAAGTGACCTAGGAGTTAGAAATAGTTTATGGAATTTTGTTGGGAGTTGTGCTTTTTTTCTGTGTTCATGGCATTGATGGGAAAGGGCATCCACAGTGCATGGGCTTCAGCCTGCCTTACAGTAGGGAAATATGTGGAGGGATTATCTTTAGTTGGAATTCCAGTGTGCTTTTCTCTAGAAGTAAGGTTTTGAGACAAATCTAAATTGCATTCATTCAGTTTGAGTAGTTCATATTGAAAATTAGTTACAATGATATTCTGCAAAAGTTAAGAGTTTTCACTTATTCCTATTTGAGTCCCCACCCCTCCCCTTTTCTTAAGAGTCTGTTCATTTAGCTTTAGAATCTCAGAACTGGATGGGACCTCAGGGACAGTGTAGGCATGGGCTTTTTGGAGTCCAATGGATCGGGGTTTTAATTCTGGATCTGCCAGCTACCTGCTTGAGCAGGGTACCCAAACTTTATGAGTTTCGATGACCAGTCTTGAAATGGGGTTTAATATCTACTTAACTGCATCATTATAAAAACACAACCAAATAATGCATGTTAGGGTGTATTAACATCAGTTCCTCCACAGCCATTATTTTATATAAGAGGCCAGTGAGGCAAAGAGAAACTGTAAGTAGCTTGTCCAAAGTCACATAATGAAACTTGAAGACAAAAAAACCCGCCTTTTAGTTTGTCTCAGATGTTTATGACAAATAAACATTTTTAAAAAGTAATGAGTAGTCTTTTTCATTTATTATTGTTATAAAGAGTGAATCTCTTGAGTGTTGTTTTTCCAAAAATGTATCATTTTGTTTTCTTTTAGGATTTGGAGTTCCATGGAGTGATGAGATTTTATTTTCAAGATAAAGCTGCTGGTAACTTTGCAACAAAATGTATTCGGGTCTCTAGTACTGCCACCACTCAAGATGTGATTGAAACTCTTGCAGAGAAATTCCGACCTGATATGCGAATGCTGTCCTCTCCCAAGTATTCACTCTATGAAGTGCATGTCAGTGGAGGTTAGTGCATGCAGATAGGGTTTGCTGGTGGCATGTCCTGCCCTGTGGGTAGGCAGCTTGTCCAGGGGACCTGTCTTACTGCTCATCTCCCTCTTTCTGTTTGTGGAGGGGCTGGGAGAGTGGTTGACAGGTTGGCAAAACTCTCATAAGTTCCTGGCCTATATATTTGTTGGAAGGTGGAATGAATATATTAATTTTTATATGTGCTTATTTCTGCAAAGATAAGTAAGTAGCATGATGTTTCATAATTAAAATTATTCAACATATCTAGGTGTCACATACAGTGATGATGTAGTATGCTACCTGGTTTTGGAGAAATATGTAACTCTTGTGTATATATTATAATATTATAATTAGTTTTTACGCAGTTAAATAGTATATGGGTATGTATTATCAATCTTGGTATAATATTTTTGCATCCTGAACCAGCACATTTTCATTATTCTTTGGGAATAATTAGGACATCTTGAGGAAAACTTATGTATTTATAAATTTCTCCTTTTTTTACCATTAGAATTTTCTGAAAATATCTCATATAGCTGTATCAAGTGACAACTTACATTGGACTTACAAAGAATGTAGAAATTCATAAAATTTTTATGGGTGCTTTGGAAATGTTGAATAACTTAGAAAAAATACAAATCACAGTGCAGCAAATAAAGGATTACATATAGCACCAACCCAATTTCAGTACCTCTTAAGTTCCATCCACAAATCTTTTTTGAACATAATTTATTTTTCTTTACTTTAAAAACACAGCTTTCTTTGTACATTTGAAATTAAACTAAAATGTTTGTAAGGTGTGGCATCTCCAGGTGTGACTACACTTTTTCTCCTCAGTAGTATGTAAGGCAGATCGTGTTTGCTTACTACTTTTTTAAGATTATGAAGATATCACCTGCATAAATAATATCCATAATAATAACTTTGACAATAGATGATGTTCTTAATTTTAGATTTTTCTGAGGTTGAGTTTTTCCTTTACCTTAGGTTGAGTTTTTCCTTTACCTTAGAATCATTGTAAATAGGTTACAAAGAAGAAAATATCTCTCACTTCCAGCCCTTTTTCTATCTGTGCATTTGGTTAGTTGAATACCACCAAGTGAATGAAGTCTTTGGAATAATATGTAAGATTGGAATGTGAGATCTAAAAATTGAATGCTATTGATTTTTTTTTTGAACTTTCATTTCTTTACATTGTCTTTACTAGATTTGTTTTTAATTAAAAAGTAAAATATTACTTTTAAGGGGTCAAAACAAAATAAAGATTATTAAAGAAAAAGTAAATGGTGTCTTTCCCACCTCTCCGTTATCTTTCATGCCTTTGTGCTTAGAGCAGTGGTTTTTTAACCCCTGCCTCAGATATGAGGAAGGCTCTGGCATGTAGGTTCTTAGTCTTTTTCGGGTCATGGAGCCTTCGTGCCATAGTAATTTTTTTAATGGCACAAGTAGGTCGGAGGAAATACATAACAGTTAATTCTCTTAAGTAGATTCAGACAAATTAACAACTCACAATTTGGTAAGTGAAAAAATAGTACACAAAAAAAAGGAAAACTAAAATTTTCTGTTTATTCTTAACGACAACTACTCCCTGATGGGATGGGTGTGCCTCTTGGGCCCTGCCAAGCTCCTCAGACTCTTGGAGCCCTCCTTTCTTGTCCACATTGATTTTCAGACAGTGCTCGTTGTTTATTTCAGCACTGGGGAAAGCCCAACTTTGCACAGATGTGATGCTGATAGAAGGAATGCTGCATGGTTGGCTGTGGATTAGGAGCTCACTGGAGCCAGGAGTTCATCTGTCTGGGAGATGTGCCTTGTTTCCCTTGACAGTGTAACACTGCTCAGTGCAGGGTGATAGTCTCAGCACCTTTGCATACCACAGCCCAGCAGTCTCAGCCCAGGGCCCAGCCCTTGCTTCAGTCTCCAGGGAAACTCCACTTCCATCCTTTTCACATAGTGAGTGTCCTCATATGAGTTCACCTGGAAACATAAAAAGGGTTATGCTACTTAAAAAAAAAATGTGTGAAACCTCTGAGGCAGAAGGTCCTTCCTTCAGTGTATGAAGATGTGGCAGGACCCAAGCACCCTGACTGTGCACACTCAGTGGTGGCCACACGTGCCATTGCAGTGATGTCTTGTTCCTGGTTCTGTTTTACTTCTGTGATTTAGGCTTAATTGTTAATGTTAGTTCTCTAAAAGTCATACTATATGAAAGACTTTGATCTATTATAAATTTTGCAGCAAGAACAACGTGGTAATTTTGGTTTGTGGCAAGAGTTCAAATTTACTGATTTTGTCCCTGATTTGTTACTCTGATTTTCATTTTTTATATTTTCAGTTCATAAAGTAATTTAAAATTTTTTATTCCTGTATTCTGATTATTAGCATTACTGTTTATATATAATATTTACTAAAAGCCTCTGTAAGTCTATTTATCTTTTAAATTCTTCCTGTTAACTCTTCTGTTTTTTGCCACAGTCATTCTTTAGTTGGTCTCACTGCATCCTATTTTTACTAGCCTCATTTTAGCATACTCTGTATATAATTATCTGGATAATCTTTGTCAACACTATTAGTAGTAGTAGTGTCACTGTAATCATCATAATCATTATGATGTCATCCTTTGCTTGGAGCGGGGGAACTATTGCTCATTTAAAAATTAAATTTTGGGGCCGGCCCGTGGCTCACTCGGTAGAGTGCGGTGCTGATAACACCAAGGCCCCGGGTTCGGATCCCATATAGGGATGGCCGGTTCGCTCACTGGCTGAGCGTGGTGCTGACAACACCAAGTCAAGGGTTAAGATCCCCTTACCGGTCATCTTTTAAAAAAAAAAAAAAAAAAAAAAAAAAAAATTAAATTTTGGGG